ACACACATATACAACACACAACATAAAGCAAGTACACACACACACACACACACACGCCCAGACACAAACACACGCCTGCCTCAAATGGCAGCGTATGGCTGCAACCTTCTGGCTAAGCAGCCAATCTTCTCAGAATAGGGGGGCCCGAGGGAAAAGTTCAAACCACGGGGAATAAGGACTCCCTAATGCAAACAAACACCAATCTCAACAAAAACAAAGAAAACCAAATCAACCAATAGGGTTCTTAACACAACAAAAAAAACATCTCCAAGGCTCTCTGGGTCCAAAACCCCGTGCGCTCGTGCCAGTACGCCACAAAGAAGAATACCAAGGGCACCGCCAGCCAACTTCTTTCTTTTCCGCCCAAAGGCACGTAGAGGTATCTCATCATGAAGCGGTTCATCGATGCGTGCCAAATACCTCAGTGTGTTGAGGCCGGGGTCAAGTCTCGGAAAACCATGGCGAGGCAGTACTTTGCTTGAAGTGACGCTGTAGCAGTCTCGTCTACAATCCGTTTGACATCTGCCCAGAAGTTTTTGTTGTTTCAAGACGCGCTCATGATTCTCCGTGCCGGGCCCTTTGTGGCCAAGATGCGCCAAAACGCTTCGAAGGTGTAATTAAAAGATACGCATCCCAGCATGTTCTCCGGTGAGTCAATGCCATCCAGCAAGGCAATGTAGCGCCCAAAGCGCCAGATGATCATCAGTGCCATCCAGGTGAAATGCAGCCGCACGTGCATCCCAATATAGAGCTCCCAAACGGAGAGGTCGTCAAAAATGCACTGACCATACTTGTCGGTAGCACTGCAGGTCAGGGTGTGCAGCTTTGTGCTATACCACCAGAATACAGAGAAGACTTCGATGCCGAACATGAGCACCAGGAGCCGGGCGCAATATGCCAGAATCTCCTTTTTTTGATATGTCCTCTGCTCCGATTCCAGCTGAGACACGAATGCGTTGTAGGTCAGGATGGGCCCGGTGAAGAAAAGTGGTGGATATCCAAGATACGCGAAACAATACCTTCGCCAGGCGACGAGAATTGCATACTCGGGTCATTATTTTGACGGTTTCTGGAAGGTTATCAAAGTCAGAAAATGTGGTTCTTTCTGCATTTTGCCATGCTTGCGACCTTAAAGCCTACGGCGCCCGTAAGGGGTGCCTGCTGCAAGAGTCTTGCCCTGCAAGTGCTCAGTTCACCGGACACTTCGTCACTCAACCATCTGGCCAATTAGTTCCAGAATATTTTTGCCGTCAGATTCCTCAACCATTCCAAAGAGAGGTTGCCAGCTCATTGGGGGCACAGCCCAGCTCAAGCTGCGCACCCCGATGCGCCTCAAACCGTACTTCTCCGGTGACAGGTGCACCTCAGCCCTGCGCACCAGATCCACCTGCGCCGCTTTGCCATCAAAAACCGATGGGCTCACAATGGCCATCTCAAGTTGAGGATTCCTAACCCGTGCCAAGCGTACTGTTACTTACGCAACAAAAAAAAGAAAGGCCTGCACTCGCACCCACTTACACACACAAACACAAACACGAAAACGCAAATAAACACAAACACACACACACACACAGAGTACAGCAATACCCCAGCTGTATGCTCCCGTCCTGGATTCATCGTTCGGTTTGGTTGCTAGGGATGGGATGGGGCGGGAAGTCCAGCACAATAACATTATTTGGTTGCTGAAGACTACCTTTTTCTGACGGCACGTGCGGCCACTGGGGAGGAGGGGGGACGATTTGTGCTATTCAGACTTCCGCATTCGCTCTCGTTGCTGGGCATGACTCTCTAGTCTCTTTTGGCTAAGCACCCCCCTACTCCAAACGCCAGCTTTTTTCAGGGTATGATGTTGATTCTATACTAAAAAGGAGTATTTAACATGGAAAGCCAGGGTTTTCCAAAATTCTGAGAAAAAAAACGGGTCTTTCGCTCACTTACAGCAAGCTGAGCTTGAGTTTTTCCTGTTGACAACGCTGATGTGTGTGTGTGTGTGTGTGTCGTTTTGAACTAAAAATATGTTTTCCTGTTGGTGTCCCTAGTTTTGCTCATTTCTTTTCACAAAATGGCGGTGTTCCTGTTGGTGTCCCTATAAGGAAAAGCAGCCGAAAAGGGGAGTACCCCATGCTTCTTATTTTCAATCGTAGACCTGTTCCCCGAATCGCACATGCAACGAAGGGCCCGTCTCATTTTCGCTGCCTTGTTCTCCAAGTTCCGCACCGCGGAAGGAATGTCCCCTGAGCGGGCGGGTCAAAAAAGGCACCCAAAAAACGAGCCCCAGAACTTGAGAGGTGCCCAAAAAAAGGATTTGCGCTGGTCACCGAGTCACCAGCCTCCCCCAATTCCATTTTTAGGGCGGGGATCCAAAAGATCTAAACCTGCGGGCCCCTCCGAAAATGACCAGAGGATCTGGTCGCTGCCCACACTGCACACTAGTTGTGTTGGAGGTGGAAGCTGAACAAACCCAACATGCCCCATCGCAACGTTGCCTGATCACTCCCAAACACCTATCTTCTGAGGTACTGGTTCGCTTTTTGATCCATCCTTGAAAAGCATGAGCTGGCAAAAGCGGATAACCGAGCAGGTCTCAAATTGCCATGCCTTTTCCCCTTTCAGTGAATGTACCGTTGCCAAACATAGTGTTCCCAAGCTCATTGTCCACTCCGTCTCGGAGTTAACTTGAAAAGTTGGTTCCATGTTCATTGTAAAACACATGTCCGTCGCAATCTCAATTGTCAATGCTTGATTGCGCAATTGATGCAAGGGATTATCATTGCGATTCGTGCAATTAGGCACTGACTTGCAAAATCTAGAAGTTCCCTTGCCTAGCTACTTTGATTGCTATGTTCTGTTGGACTTTCATGGTTTTGCCATGTTTTGCCAAATTGCTCCCAAGGGAAATGATTCTTGGACTGCAGATTCCTGGTTTCCTTCAAATACCCCCGAAAAAAGGTCCATCAGTTTGAGAAACACTCAAATCGCCCCAGTCTTTTTCCATGCAACAGGTTTGCCATCCTCAATGCCTGGTAGGTCGAAGCGAAATCGCCCCGGTGAGTCGGAGAGACTCTCTGACTCCATTCTTTCCAGGGATCCTTCTAGAAAACCTCCGGACACCCAGGGAAAACGGATCCGGTTTTTGGAAAAAACGATGCTTGAAAAGAATGGACCAGGAATCAACCCCTAAAAAAAACAAAATATAAAAAGATAACCCCCCGCTCTACCGCCGCCGAACCTAGGGCCATGGGTCGGAAGGCCCAGAAGGAGTCGAGACCCAGGGAGATGAGCTTCAGCGCCAGAAAGCGAAAGGTGAACCAGGGCGCGAGCCCCCGGATCCTCGTCTCGCGCCGGAAACGCCAAAGGGGGGCGGGGGGTACCTTTCAGCTTGCCTAGGGTGGCTTGGTCGTTCGGGGCGTTCCCCCTTTTACTCTCTGAACGTTCAAATCCCAAACCACCAATCCAAACCACCAATTGCAGGGTTACCGGATCCTTTAAGATATACTACCAGGTACCCTAAGAACAGCGCACCGGAAATGTTGTGGGTCTCCGTGTTGCAAATTTGGACGACCCCCGGCGCAGGCAAAACATACTTCCGAGAAGTTGGAAACAGCTTTCGCCCTCGCCGGTCAAAATGACGCATCCTCCTCAATGGAATATTGAACCCTTCCTGCGACGTAAGCAACTCCGGATGTGGAACACACTGTTGGCTGAACATAGATGGCCCATGACCCAACCTAAAAGCACACCCGTGCCGTCAAATATTCCCGACCAGTGCCATCCTGAACACGAAAGCGGGAGGAAAAGTGGGAGAGAAGCGGCTAGGCCATTCTTTGCCAGATGCCCATGGCACGCCCTTTTTTTCCCCAGAAGCTGATTCTGTGGCTTGAACAAAACCAGCCTGTCACACTGTCGCTTGTCCATTTGGAGGATTGACTTGCGGAGCCCGCGCCGCGGTGACTTAGATTCTTACCCAAAGACCTGGGGATTTGGGCGCTCGGGCCGGTGACTTTGATGGCAGAAGGGTCGCGGTGGGTTTCCTTGAGACATCTGCACAGTACTTTGGGAGTTGTGCCTCGTGATTCCAAATCCATGATGTTGCCAGGCAAGGCAATAGGGATGCAGCGTGTACCAAAGGGCATCTGACAAGGGCAGGTTGGGTATGTGTCAAACTAGGGGGCCAAAAGTTTTGGTCTCCCTTCAAACCAACCCATAAAATTGGAAGGACACGCATTCTGTACAAGGCTCGCGTTCTCGCGCTGGCACATGGCTCCCGGATGTTTCGCCCATTGAAGTGTCGTCTGATCCCCCCCTACCATACGGGGGAGGGGGGCGGGGGGTCCCCAATTCCAGTTATCTAGTTTTCCCCTTACAAAGGAAATGGAACCATAAATGGAATTCCAGGGGTCACCCCCCCTCCCCGAATTCCATATTTAAGGGGGTGGGGATGTCATCTGATGCCAAGCGGCAGGAATGGCTTGGAGATGAAGCACAGCTCTGAGTTCGGCAGTGGCTTCTTGAGCGCATCTCCGCAGAGCTGATCCCTCAGAAGTACCCTCCGACCCTTCCCACACGGAACCTGACATTCGGGGGTCACCTTTAAAAGGAAAACTGTCTTCCAGAGCCCCCCAGCCAGGTTCCCTATGTTACTTGGTGCTTTTGAGCTGCATCATTTGATAGATTCTCAGTTTGCACTTCTGCAGTTGAGACAAATGGCACCGGCCCCCTTTCCATTGACTCCAAGAAGCCTTTCGTATTATTTCCGGCAAGAGAAAAAAGATCTCCAGCAGCCGGCACTTGCTTTCAGCTTCCGAGTTGAAGAGTTGCAAAGGCTTGGAAGGAATATTGGACTTCAAAGGGGCGCACGGAATCCGTGAATTCGAGGACCCGAAGGGGGGTTGCTCGGATTTGATCGCAACCCTGACCTTGCCTTAGGTTCGGCTGGCCTTGGCAAAATACAGTAGTCACCTCTGGAGCGAAATGACTGCTTAACGAACCTGCAGCACTCATCAACTTGTTTGTGGCTGCCTTTGGCTGTTCAAAACAGTAGTCTGCACGGCTCGCTATGGACCACGCATTCTTCGTGTAAGAACACACGCGAACACGTGTCTATTGAAATTCAACAACGCCATCAGTTGCTCGTGCTTGGTACATTCACTATTTTGCTGGGCTCGTTCTGCTGGGAAGCACCACTTGAACTGGAACTCGAAGGCGGGGGGGACTCCAGCTCAATCAGCTCTAGTCAATTCTCGGCTTGGGCTGACAAACAATCCGGGTAGAACATCCTTGATCCAACCACAGAGCACACCAAAGATACATTCTGATTGTGTCTTCCATTTGGTTAAGACCCCTGGAAGAAAAAACACACATATGTCCAGCAGTGATAAACATAAAATCCGTTCAAAACCAACAAGGAAAATAACAAATGTTCTTAAGCAAACGGAAGGTGTTGAATAGCCGAGACGACGCAGGGTACATTATTTCATAGTTGGCTTATACAAAATCTGTGCTTGGGCATTGCACATCCTGGGCCAAAAGCTATGAGGAGACCGATTTCAGGATTATTTTTTGAGAACCCCAAAATGGACTTAAACCAAGGGGTGGTTGATTTCCCCAAAAGGGAAACCCATGCGTTTTCGTCTACCTTGGGGTCAAGAAAAGGAACCCTGACCGATTTTGCGAATTCGCCAAGGCGCTCCAACCGGGTCCAGAACTTTATGCCCTGGTCATAGTGCCAGTCCTGGATCACGTGTGGGTGATCTCCCAGCAGTCGCGAGACCAACTCCATGCATGCCTTGGAAGGGTGACAACCCTGCCAGAGTCGTGGTATACACTCATCAAGTTGAAGTGGGGCTGAAGCTTCCTTTGCATACAATGATAACATGATAATCATGAACAGCAATCATAATAATAATGATGATGATAAAACAGCAATAATCATCAGTGTTTCCCAAATTCCCAAACCCCTTTCCTTTGGAAGCCTGGACCACCTGGTTTTCGTTTGACTGCTGGAAGCGTGCTCGGTTTTTCCCAAGGAGACAACTCCTCAGCTAGGCCTTGACCAGGGTCCCCGGCCAGTTTTTGCGTACTGTTTTTTCCGATTAGCCGCAGTGTTCAGAATAACTTCCTGCAGCCAGCAGTAGTGTGCAAACTCGTTGGAAACGAGCACATGGTCGCAACGAGAGTTCCAGTCCTTACGTCAATAGGCTCGAAAGCTAGCTGTGCCGAGCCAACGGTGTAGGGGCGTGCAGGTTTTGCCACTTGCAAGTTGCGACTTCAATCTGACCAACCGATAGGTCAAGCAACTGGCTACTCTGAGCTTTACGCCGCAGGCTGCAAAGGAGCCTGGATGGAAGCCTGCATCAGCACAATCATCAACGCAAGCGTGCAGCTCTTGGCAAATTATGTTGAATGCACAACGGCTCGGCCACTAACTGCTTGGATGCCGTTTTACTTGGATGCCATTTTATCATGTGTGTTCTGCAGTACCATAGCTGCATATAGCTGCCTCCAAATGCTTGAGAAGGTCTGGCAGTGCTCTCGAGGCCACCTCTGAAACCAAGCCACAATATAACCAGATCTTGGCTTGAGGTGGCCGCTGTAAAAGGCAGGTACAAGTGATGTAATCAACCCAGGTGTAACTTGATCTACTTTTGCCATACCGCCTCCCTCTCCCTCCCTCCTCCCTTCTCTCCCTCCCCCTCTGCCTCCCTCCCTCCCTCCCTCCCTCGCTCCCTCCCTCTCTCTCGCTTCTCTATCTGTCTCTCTCGAGCGTTCAAATACCTGCAACATCCTGCAAACCTTACAAACAAATCCCAAACCCACGGGGTCGACCAGAGTGAACCCCCAAAATAGGCAAAACAACTCAGGTCTTCCGTCCGGGCGCCACAGCGAAGACCCACATGCACGCAGTCACCAGGCTTGGTGGGGCGTCTTTCAGCAGCCGCGCCAGCGATGCGACCATCAGACCCATGAGCGCCACTGCACAGCTCCCGAGGAGGCCTGGGAGTTGGTTTTCTTCCGCAAGAAGCTGCTCCGCGGAAATGAGTTCAGAAGCCGTGGCGTTCCCAAGTTCCAAAGAAACCTGTCAAACAATATGAGGCAAAAACATTGGAGGCTTTGTGGACTAAAACAAGGTATCCTCGCTATCCAGGTGATCACCCTTTCTGGACCTTCCCTCAAAAGGGGTGAAGAGGCATGCGATCCATTTGCAAGCCTAGAGTTAGACCCTCTGTTTGACAGGGACGATGTATCCAAAGTACTGGCCATTCCACCCCTATAAACCGGGAGGGGCGTGAACACCTTACAAACCAAGCCGCCGAAGAAAGGGAATCGCCCCCCTTGTCACCAGTGTGCTGCGGTGGTCTAGCCATGGCACCATAGGCGAGGAACATCACGCAGCCACCGAAGCAAAAATGAAACACCACGCGGCCGTTGGGATGCGCATCTTCTGCGACACGGCCAGCGAGAAGGAAGAGGGCCATAAGCGCAACCATGCTTGGCAACGTCCTGCCACAAACAACATACAACAGTTACGATTACCCTCAGGGCTCCTGGTATTGAATCAGCTCGGGTGGATCCTGCCAAATGGCAACATGGCTTCAGCGATGGCTCCTGTGCGTGACTGCCTTGGCACGTGGCCACCATGCCTGCGAATATTTCAACTGGAACCTGAAATGCACGCGGAGAACGCTCCGTTGGCCCCTGTTCCACGTCTTGGGCATTCACATCCAATGTTCCAACATTGCCCCAGCACTCCGATGTTCGTCATAGTCATGCAACCCCTTCAGCTTCGCACTGCCGCTTTATCCCCCGGCCTGAAATCATAACCCCATGGAAATTGAAGAGATGTAGATCAACGCCTGGACGCTGATGACGATCTACAAGTTTGCCGAAACCGTTTGCCAATAGTGAGTTCGCGTTCGCCCCACATGGTGAGTTCGCTTTAAAATAAGCAGAACTGACCAACTGGGCCACTGAAATTGTCTTTCAAAATGGCGGCAAAAAGGAGGGTGAGGGATAGAAAAATCTTTATTAGGCATCCAAAAAATATTTCTGAAGATCAAAAAGACTTATTAGGGATCAAAAAACTTGTTCTCATTGATTTACTATTAAAAATTAAAAACCAGAGGATCAAAGACAACTTTTTAGGCATCAAACAAAACGCATTTCGTGGCATGCGCAGCACTTTCGTACTCGTTTCGTGGCAGGCGCAGCACTTTCGCAAGGTCAGGTACAGATTTCGTGGCAGGCGCAGCACTTTCACAAGGACGGTGCAGATTTCGTGGCAGGCGCAATGCTTTCGCAGGTCAGGTGCAGATTTCGTGGCAGGCGCAGTACTTTTGCAAGGTCAGGTGCAGAGTTCGTGCAGGCGCAGGACTTTTGCAAGATCAGGTACAGACTTTGTGGCAGGCACAGGTCAGGTACAAATTTGGCGGCAGGCGAAGGTCAGGTACAAATTCCCCAGCAGGCACAGCACTTTCGCAAGGTCAGGTACAGATTCGCACGGCACAGCACAGATTTCGCGGCACAGCACTTTCTTTGCAAGGTACGGTGCAGAGTTTGACGCAGGCGCAGCATTTTCGCAAGCAGTGAAGAAAAACTAGACCACGGTTGGCCCGAAAGCAGAACATCGCAAGCGAGGTCGGCCCAACGCTGCAGGATGCGTTCTTTTTCCCTACACTTCGTGAAGCAAGCGCGAGACAGCACCAGGCAAGGTGCTCTGCGCAAACTGGTCGGTGCAAGTTGGTCTGCGCAAGTTGCTCTACGCAAGTTGCACTGCGCAAGTTGCTCTGCGCAAGTTGCTCCGCGCAAGTTGCTCCGGCAAGTTGGTCCCTGCAAGTGGCTCCCTGCAAGTTGCTCTGTGCAAATTGCGCTCCCTGCAAGTTGCTCTGTGCAAGCTGCTCTGTGCAAGTTGCTCTGTGCAAGTTGCTCTGCGTAAGTTGCTCTGCGCAAGTTGCTCTAGGCAAGGCGCTCTGCGCAAACTGGTCGGTGCAAGTTGGTCTGCGCAAGTTGCTCTGTGCAACTTGCTCTGCGCAAGTTGCTCTGCGCAAGTTGCTGTAAAATGCAAGTTGCATCTTGCGACGCCCGCCCGCGGACCAGGGAGGAATCGAACCCGCGACCCGCCGGTTCCGGGAGCAGGCGCGCGAACCACGAGACAACTCCCGAGGACCAGTTCGAACAACAAAAGTCGCAAAAAACCTTGAGTTTTTGCACCTCGACCACGCCGATTCCCGCAGAGGGTTGCGCGAGCACCGCAGAAATCGCAAAAAACCATGGGTTTTTGCACCTCGACCACGCCGATCCCCGCAGAGGGTCGCGCGAGCACTTTAGAAATCGCAAAAAACCATGGGTTTTTGCACCTCGACCACGCCGATCCCCGCAGAGGGTCGCGCGAGCAGGTTAGAAATCGCAAAAAACCATGGGTTTTTGCACCTCGACCACGCCGATCCCCGCAGAGGGTCGCGCGAGCACCGCAGAAATCGCAAAAAACCATGGGTTTTTGCACCTCGACCACGCCGATCCCCGCAGAGGGTCGCGCGAGCAGGTTAGAAATCGCAAAAAACCATGGGTTTTTGCACCTCGACCACGCCGATCCCCGCAGAGGGTCGATTTTCGTGTAGTGTCGTCGGCACTACCCCGCCGCCCTAAGAAGAGTTTTTAACTCCTCGCAAGTCAATTGCACTTGACTCCTTGCACTTGCAACTTGCACTTGACTCCTTGCTTGTTTCAAGTGTCATTGCAAGGGGTCATTGCAAGGAGTCATTGCAGAGGAGTCATTGCAAGGAGTCATTGCAAGGAGTCATTGCAAGGAGTCATTGCAAGGAGTCATTGCAAGGAGTCATTGCAAGGAGTCATTGCAAGGAGTCATGAGAGCCATTGCAAGTTGCAATTAGAGCCAAGTGCATGGAGTCAAGTGCAAGTCGCAAGTGCACGGAGTTTTGCAAGTTGCAAGTGCAAGGAGCCAAGTGCAAGGAGGCACTGGCTGCCTGAGTTCAAACTAGTCAACAGCAAAACAAACATTGCAAGTGCAAGGAGTCAAATTACAGTTGCAAATTAAAGATCAAATTAGAGTTTGCAATCCTTTGCCGTGACTCCTTGCAATGACTCCTTGCAATGACTCCTTGCAATGACTCCTTGCAATGACTCCTTGCATTGACTTTCATGATGATGATTCCTTGCAATGACACCTTGTAATGACTCTCATGAGAACAATTCAAGTGAACCCAGCGGAAGAACCCTTCGCCATGCTTTCGGGAAATGCAGAAAAATGCAGTGAAGATAGCATTAAAGAAAAAGCAAGAAAAGATGTCAAACTACATGCTTCACTTTGCACTCTTGTTGCATGTATGTTCACTACCGCAGGCCTTGAGCTTACTACTCCGCATGAGTAAAAAGGTTGGCAGCTGCAGACTACATTGGTTGACTGTTTGTTTGAACACTACAGCACTTGCACTTGTAAGCAAAGTAACCACCGATTTTAACGTGGTAGCGGAGCTGAGATCCTAAACATAGGGGAGCTCCAGTAAGCAGTAAGTACTACAACCACAGCAACAGCAGCTACATGCCAAACTACTACGACATGTCAGGAGAAGCAGCATCAGCCTCAGCACAGCAAACTACAGGAGCAGAGAACGGGCCAACAGCAGACACAGTAGGAGCCACGACTACGGGAGCAGGAACAGAACAAGACAACGACGTTCAGAGACTACATAGATACAAACTGCCACCACCCTTCTTCACTGGTGACTACTCCCAGTATGAAGAACGGCTGTTCAAGCTACAAGCATACCTCGGCCTCATAGACCGAGACTTCGACCTGGTGCTACAACTAGCACAAGTGGCTACACGACAGATTGAGGACACAGACATCAGAACACACATGCTCGACCCTACACAAGCAAGCAAAGCAGTAGACCTCTCCAGAGATCTACACTACATCCTCATCAACATCTGTCAGGGAGCAGCAGCTACAGTAGTAAGGCAAAACCGCTACAACGCAAACGGATGTGAAACACTACGACTACTACACAACAGGTTCACAGTAGGAACAAGGAGCGTTGGTTACCTTACCAAACTACTGGAACCCACATTCAACGAAGCGCAGTTTGAAGAACAATTTCTACAATGGGAATACGACATCAACCGCTACGAGAAAGACAATGGAACAGCACTACCAGATGGAATCAAAATAGCAATGCTACTCAACAAAACCAAAGGAGCACTGCAGCAACACCTCCAACTGCGAGCTGGGCAGATCACGAACTACATCGAGATCAGAGCACTCATCTTGGACTACTACAAGACGATTTCAGCCTTCACTAGATCTACTTCAGCAGTAGGAACAAACTACAATGGAGGAGCTGCACCAATGGATGTTGACAACATATGGAGGAAAGGAAGAAACTACAAAGGCAAAGGAAAAGGAAAAGGCAGCTACAAAGGAAGCAAGAGCAAAGGCAAGTACAGGAGTAAAGGACACTACAAAGGATTCGACAAAGGCAGCAAAGGAAACTACAACAAAGGAGGATACAACAAGAGCAAAGGAAAAGGCTACTCAGGATCCAAAGGATATGGATCAAGCAAAGGCTACAAAGGCCAAGGAAACTACAGCAAATCAAAAGGAAAAGGAAACAACAATTACACAACATGCCATCGATGTGGCAAACCAGGCCACTGGGCACAAGACTGCAGAGTGCCAGTATGGCACATAGGAGAAGGAGAAGAACTACATCCACTAGAACAAGAACAAGCAGATCACGACAACAATGATGAACTACCTCAGGATGTGAACGACACTTGGGACTGGTACTACGAAGGAGAAGAAGGACAACACGAGGTGAACTACATGGAGGAGAACTGGAACGACTACGACTATGACAACAGCTGGGATTGGAATGACAACAGCTATGAGGACACAGCGAACTACATTGGAGGCATCAACGAGTCACACCTCACCATTGGACACATCAGACAAGCAAAATCACGACTACACAAGCACAAATCCAAATCACTACTTGGCAAGAGAACAACACACACAACATCATGGAACGACCACAGCAAGAGCTTTCAACAATTCCTACAAGAAGACACCACACAGCCACACTTTGACATAGCAGCAGCAAGACAACAACAAAGGAACAAGAAGATTGAGGACACTATCACACACTACATCATGTACTCCAACTTCAAGTCATACCACCACCTGTTGATCGACTCAGGAGCATCTACACATGTTTGCCCAAAGGACTACGCGCCGGATCTTCCACTACGACCCTGTGGAGAATCAGTTCCACAACTCTACACGGTGACCAACAAGAAGATTCCAGTCTACGGCATCAAGTACGTTCCCTACAAGCAGGACAACTTCAGGATCATGATACCCTACTACGTTTGTGATGTGAAGTATCCAATCCTCAGCGCATCAAGACTACTTGATAGAGGATATGGACTTGACTTCACTCCACGACACTGCACCATCACACATGGACAACAACAAGCACACCTCA